CAATAGCCCTTATTATAAAGAGCAGTGAAATAAAGCCGCATAAAAAAAAGATACACTTAAAGGTCACAGGCCTTGACTGCAGATGTGTTACTAGGAGATGGGTCTGGGAAACTTTCCCAGACCAGGTAGATTGTGTAACAATCATAAAGGGCAAATATGATAGCGTCAATGCTGCTTGTCAACAGAAGAACTTTGGTCTATGCAAACTCCTTCTGCACTGCACCTCTAAGGACAGCTGTACTTCTCCCCCAGAAAGTTCAAATTCTTTTCCAAGTTCTCCTTCCCTTGCATCTTACACCTCAAGGCTTCTTCCATGCTCTGGCCTTGCCAGGCAAAGCCATGTCTGCCTCTTATCTGTCTAGAACACTCCTGGAAAGATAATTTTCTTGCCTCTTGATCTCAGTCATGTTGCCCTTCTCCCTGATTCCTTCTACTACCTCCCCCTCTTCTGTCACATCAAACACAATATTACTGTGCTTATCTTCATTGAGGAGTTCAAGCTCCTCAATAACCGTCTCCCATGTTTCCTTTTGCCCTTTCTCACGAGGTGTTGGCTTTTCCTCTGACTGGCCATTTAGGTCCAGCTGGGCCATTTGGTTTTAAATCTTCAAGTAAGCAGCTTTGTGCTTGCTGCCTTAGCTAGCACACAGCAGAGATGCTCATCCAAACACCCACACAGTTATCGGGACGTAGTCACCCAAATCCTGCGCAGCACTGTTACGATCTCTACCAAAAAAACTTGACTATTAAGCAGCCGTTGCGCTGAAGCTGCATTTCTGTCATAGTGACCAGCACTGTTTTAAAACAGTCATGTTACCTCTCTGTCTGCCTGTATCTGTTCGCTATCTTTTTGTTTTATAATTAAACTATAAACAATTTGGGAGCGAGGCCATCTTTTCATCCTCCATATAGTGCCTTGCTACACTCTGGGATGTGGTCTTGGGGTTTCTCAATATAAGTTGGTTCTTTATTCTTTGTACTACTGAAGACAAGCAGCATGTGGCTTTTGGCAGCCCACTGACGAGACAGGCCAAAGGGTACATTGTGTGTCCAGAATCAGTGTATCGCGCCCTCTGCATAACCAGCAGATGTCTGTCTCGCTGCATGCATATCTGTTCAAAGCTTAAAAATCTCTCATGTTCAAGGAAACAAACCTGCTGGAGGACCTAAGCCTACAAAAAAGGATCTCCCTGTAAGTAGTTTAATGTTTAAACTGTAAGAAGGGGCTCTAACAAGGGCTGGATTACCCACTGGTTTGCAAATTGTGCAGTTTTTTATGTCTGCATAAAGAGAGAAAAACATTGTCTCACTCTGATTTCAGCTGCATTTCCAGGGTCTTTTGGAAATGAAATGAGATTATTCTGCCCAGCCTCCAAGGCTGGGGGGATGCAAACCAGCCCCAACGCATAATCCGTTTCCCAGGCTCACGCTCATACCAGTGCAGTACCCCAGTGTCTGGACTGGAACTGAGGCTATGGTTTCACAGGCAGCTGAGTCAATCTATCACCTCTGCCACCCAAAGGAGAAGGTCTTTCTTCCCTGTCCGCCTTCTCTTTGCTCTTCTTCTCTCCTCCACACCCCATGTTTGTCCCTTGTGGTGGCTTTGGCCTTCATCAGCTTCTCTGTAAGTCACTTCAGCTCACCCATGAGGCAGCAAAAAATCCTTCCTCCTTGTTGGGTTACTCTTCTGCCAAGTTAATGAGTCAAATCCACTGAGGAAGAGGTTTGATGAGTTCTGCAACTGGCACAAGGTCAAGTGGAAGGAGCTCAAAACAGATAGCAGGGGAAGAAGGGAGGCAAGGAACAAGAAGGGACTCCTGGACTGGCACAGCCACTCTTGTAGGGTGCGACTTCATGAGATGCAATAAGCCAATTGGACTGTGGAATCTCCCACTAAAAGGGGTCTCTGGAGCAGCTCTTCCCTGACCCCAGGCCAGCTGATCCTCTTCCTTGCCACACTTTCCCACCACAGTAAACTGCCTGAGCGCCCCAGATTGGCTCGCCAAGGGGTCAGATAAGCACCAGTGCTGGCACCATTAAAGCAGTAGGAGCACAGGTCCAGGAGAGCTGGGCTGCCCTTCTCTGTAGCAGCAGCTGGATGTTATACCAGCTCAATAATGTTGTAAAATGCACAGCGTGACTTACAGCCATCTGGCTCTCAACAAACAAGAAAGTCCTAATCTGCCTACAAAAACTTGTGAGATAGCTGCGGTATCTTATGTCATCACCAGCACAACTGCAAGGTGATAAAGAATTATGGCCTTGTTATGTGAAAAATAGCTTTGATATTTGCTCTTAAATAGAAAGCCCCTTCAGGCATACTTTTTTAATTACTTGCAAATGCGCTTTTAAGACCTGAACACATTTTCTGGGTTAAGGCACTCCTAAGAAACAAACCATGAAGACTGTAAAATTATAGGACTGATAATCAAGGAAGGGGTTTGCATTCTGAAGCAGTGCTATCACATTGCTGTCACTGTGATGTGCTGGTGGCATAAACTACATGGCAAAATTTTCAAAACCCATGAAATAACACTTGTCAGTGTTTGCCTCTGTTCATGTACGATAATCTGGCAAAAGCACAGAGGTAAAGGTAAAAACCTTGAAGAAAAAATAAACTTGGTAAATCGTAAACACGTAATTTCTGGGCCTGGTAACGTCACATGCGCTGGGCCTTTAAGCTCAACGTCGTTCTTACAGTCTGTCTTGAACTGGAATCTGAGGTTTTTAAATGGGAATTGAGCAAATGTCTGATGCACACTGAGTTCAGGCAGACTGAGGGGTGGCCAAGCACCTCCACCAGTGGGCTGCCGTGGCGGATCCTCCGCTCCACCTGTGACCCTGTCTGCGTGCGCCCTCCCCGCCCCAGCGCTGGCACTTGTCTAACCACACGCTGAGCCCTTTTAGTTAAACTTTTCTTAACTTGGTTTCAGTTGATTCAGTTCCCTGAACTTGTAATGCCCGGATAGGGGAACGCCAGCGCAAAGTGCAAGGGGAGTGCAAAACGCGGGCGGGAGCAGCCTGCAATTAGAGCCGCTCTACCAGAAAACCGCAAACTCAAACTGCACTTCGGTGCCAGGGTGTACGCCAGCACGGTCCCTGTTCCCCCGCCTGCACAGCCCTGGAGAAAGCTTTTATGTGGTCATGCGGTAAACTGGTTTGTAAAACTGACCCAACCGAAATATCATCATCCATCACCAAGCCCTGCCAGATCACTTCCCCAAAGCCAGTCACCGCAAGGTCCCCACCGACGCCTCTGCCAGTCCGAAGGAAGGGGAAGCTCCGGGGAGGATCAGCACAGAGCAGGGATCAGCAGGCGGAAACACATGGGTCTGGAGGCGCACAGCAAAGAGAGGACCGCTTCTTCCAGCAGCAGGGCTAGCGTGACGTATTGGCCAACCTGCGGCCTTCGAAACCATTAGCTGCTCTCCACTCTTCTGTCCTCAAGCACACCTGGCTCCCCGTGCAGCTGCATCACGAAGGAGCAGCCGGGCTGAGGGACAGAGACACGGACGAAACGGGAAGCAGACCTACTGACAACCACTTCCTGAGCAGCGAGGATAAAACTGTAGCAGCAATAACTGCTTTGAAAGTATTTTACAGTCCTATCAGTGGTGGATTGCCCCAGCGCACCCCACGAGCATTGGTGGAGGGCAAGGGGGCATGAGTTCCCCCTGCAGTGAAGAGTCATCCCCAGCAGAGATATCAGCTCTGGTTCTGCAAGCGGCCCGGGAATGTGGCTGTGACAAAACCTCTCATAAATTAACCCATCCCCTCAATCTTAGGCTTGCATGGACACAGCTGGGCTTGCTTTCAGTGTTGGAGCTGATAAAGTTGTATTTGGTTCGGATATCTCTGCCCAACAGTCCACTGAACACAGTGCATGTCCTAAGGACTCTTTACAAATTTCTCATGTATTTTGCTCAAGTTACACAGGCTTTTCTGGTTGTATGAAACCAGAGCGTAGAGCAGAAGTCAGCCTGCTCAGTTGTGCTACATCTACGACGTAACATGCTTTAACAGGATATGTTACTTCTTTGGTGAACAGGGTTAATTTAATTCTGGTCTGGAATTATCCCTTTATTTCTCTTCTCCACCCTTTTTGCAACCAAAGGCTTACAGCGCTTCAGAAGTGGTAGGCTTCAGCGTCACAGCAGTTACCAATCCAAATAACGACAGCACTTTTCATTTGCCGCTCTTGGCTGCCATCTTGTTTCTTATCCAGATTTCCATGTATGTGGCTAACTCTATTTATTCTCTAGCCTCCTTTGTCTTCACGGGTTTCTCTATAATCCAGCTAAGCCTGCGAGCCTGTGGGTTGTCTTTCTCTTCCTCTGTGCTTCCATGCAACTTTTTTTCTCTCAGTGCTTCAGAGTTTTCCAAAAACGAAGGTGCATGGTTCCACATTATTATACTTCGACTCCTGGTGCAAAGCACTTTCCTAGCAATGTGTAACTGATTGAGTTTAAATATTTTAACTTATCTTTAACTCTGAGATCAGCTTTATTTCTGCTGCTGCGAGGAACAGAGAAAATTACATTGCAGTCATTTCTCCTTAAGGCCACTGGAGAAATGTGGAATTCAAGGCAAAGACCAAATCCCTAAACTGTAAAAACAAAAAAAAAAAAAAAAAATGGACCGCATGACTGTTTTGATATTTATGAATTGATGAAAAATCCCTTCTCGGTTTCCCTTGTGCTGGTTGGTGAAGCCAAACTGCCTTTGTAAAACTGTCTCTCCACTCTATTTATAACACTAGCAGTCTTAGTCATATCAGTGTAACTAAGGATCCCTGTGAGACTGTGCATAAATAGTTTTAAGCTGTATTTAAAAGCCAGGGTATTATACATGAAAATGGTTTAAAATATATGGTTGGTATGTCCTGCTCCTGCTTCAGGAAAAAAACCCCATGACCAATGAGAAGTGCACACTTCTGCAGCTCTACAAACGCCAGTGGTTCTGCTGAGATTTTAAGATTTGCAGTTTCCGTCATTACTAACCTTAGAAACTTAACGTAGTTTCTCTTCAGGCTGCCTCTGTACATCATTTTGTATGGCTTTTTTACTGGGTGTATTCTTCTTAGAAAGCAAGGTACGAGCGCAAAACCCTCTAACTCTTGCTTCTTACAGAGCCTTTCATCCCCTTCACCAGCTCTTTATCAGCCTAATCTCTTCCCACTAAAGTTTATTTTGGATATACGACCATCAACCCCTGCCTCGAAGACAACAACAAAAAAAAAAGTCTGCCAGCTAGCAAAAGTGTTCACACAAACCTGTTCTGCCAGGCAGAAAGAGGCAAAAGAATCAACACAGCTGCAAGAGAAGGCTACAAAAAGCAGAGTTAAGTGGCAAGAACGGCAGAAGGGGCCTGGAGCCACAGGAGGGACTATATCCTTCTGAGAGCGGACCCTAAGCCTGTGCTTAGTGTCCGGATGCTTAGTTATGGGGATGGAAAGAGGCATATGTCAGAACCTAGACACCTGGACTGCAAAGAGGCTGACTTTTGCTGCTGTGACCCTTTAACGTCTTAATTTTTACACTGTGGAATGCACTGAAATTCTTAAATTTTGCCCTGCATAAAGTACCGGAGTCTACAGATACTAAGAACTGTCTCAGCTAAAATACGGTGCACAGACTACTCCCTAGTCCTTGTCCATACATCCAATAGTAAAAGCTAGTAAATAGTAAATATTATTATCCAACAGTAAAAGCTAGCTGACCTCCCTCCTGACTTCAGCCTGGTCTCTCACACCACTAAGGTGATTTTGGAAGGAGAAGAGAGGAGACCCTCTCCTGCGCACCGTACCCAGCACTCCCCACCCGTCCCGCAGGCACCCTACAACTTCTGCCTCCCCACACGCCACAGGTATTTGTCTCTGCATTTTTGGATGCTGCTTCTGGACTCTGTGTCTGACCTCCCAAACCAGACATCCGAATCCCGACAGATCTCGCTGCAGTCCTGAACCAGCTGGCTCACAGTGCAAGATTCGTGCTGCGAGGGTTTTATTTTTCTTCTGAGCATACAGTGCCTGCCACTGCAGGGACTTGAAAAATAGCTCAAATTCCTAGGCGCTATCACTGCACAGATAGCAAAGAATAACGACCAGTGATAGGAGTATTTCTCTGTCAGGTTGCCAGCATATAGCCACTGCCCCCACAGAAGCAGGGATCGCATAAGGAGGGCAAAACACAGCAGAGCTCGATGCCCCGTCTCAGACCAATTCTGACTTCTCTGCATAAGCATCAATATCCGAAAAGGTTCCTTTACCTGGTCATGGGCAGCTCCTCTAACCTAAAATAAATAAAAAATATTCTTGTACATGCTTGTTACATGCAGTATCCTGTGCCTGCCGGCTAATTGCTGCTACTCTGAGCCACAGTTAATGATTCACTCCGTCTGAAATGCGACACACAAAATATACGACGCGAACCACTCTTACAACATCCGCCTCACTGTGTACACAGAGGAAGAGTGAACGCTATTGGCACGTGCACTGTTGATTACTTTATCTCTGCACCGTGCTTGAGGAAAGCTACTGACTAGAAAGATTAAATTATTAAAACCCCTAGCCTAAAGAAAAGAATTGAGCAAAGCGAATGTCTTATCTCTTGATTTCCAGAAATGCTGAAAAACCATACGTTTTGCTGAAGGACATGTGAACTGGAGGTTCCTGGCCCTTTTCATAATCAAACTGCAAGTCATATCTATATATGTATACATATTTATACAGGCATACACATACACACACACACACACATACAGACTCATATATACATATTTATGGGATATGATGTTATTAAAATTAGTACAAGGCAAGAATGAAAGTACAAGCAAGAATGAAACACATGAGAGAGCGCATCAGGTAAAAGTGTTGTGACAGGGTAGAGTTAGCAGGAAACTTCTTGGTTTTGGAGCACTTCCATTTGCAACCTTACCAACCTTCACTTTGAAACCTTTTCTTGCAGTGTATTCCTTTGGTGGAATTTCACCAGAGAAGATTGCCCATTTTTCGGTTGTTTGATTTTGGGAAACAAATTAATGAAAGTGAAATTACTTGGGCAGAGAGCACTGGAACGATTTGTTCCACGAAGATCTGATCACACAATCCCCGCTATCCTGTCTGCCTTAAAGAAGTCAGCAGCCTTCTCCAGCAGGATGAACGGGAACGACTGTTTCAGGGTTGGTTTTCAGCAGAATCAGTGAGCTCTTTGCTAATGGAGACCTAATCACTAGCAGACAAGTAAGGAAGCGGCAAGAACCTGGCGCAGGGGGTAGAAAGGCACATCAGCCCTTTCGGCGGAAGGACAATGTTAGATGGGCTTAAGCAGCTCACAAAAACTCATCTTCATGAATTCTATCTCTAAAAACCGCATGCAAGTTCGTTTAATGTCTGAAGACCTGTCAAGATCTCAGTCTAGAGGAAGAGACCCCTGGACAACTCCATAGCTTACATCCTTATGCTCCTTTTGGGGTGTAAGTCCACAGAGCCACAGTAGCGCAGTATCGCTAGAGTGTTAACACAGTTTTAAAGACAGTGAGACTATTTAATGAACTATATAACTATATAGTTAATATATTTCTACAGTATAGCAATACATTAATGCTAAGGTTGTCTTGACTACATTTCTCGAGAAACCGTTACTGTTATGTGCAATTAGATCTTTGTCTCTTAGGCTGCCAATGAACTTTTGAACGCTACTACCGTGAAAAAGGCTGAAATGCTGGACCTGTAGGTGCTATCACAGTTCGGAAGCTAACGATTCTGAAAGTCATGCATTCCAGCTTATTAAGCAGTTTTCTTAAAGTGATAATCTTCCTGAAGTGAGACCTTTGGAAGACCAGTGAAAAATGATTTTGACTTTTCTCTTGCAGCTTCCTGATTTAGAGCTGTTTGCCATACAAAACCTTTGTAAGATAAAACTCTTCTACAAAGACGTTGACAGTAAGGCAGACAAATTGCTGTTGAAACATACCTTGCATTTTGAGAAAAAGCTTTAAGAAACATGCTTCTTATTTCCCTAAGCAGAAAGAAAGAAAGTGCCGCATTATCGCTACTATTCTAACAAAAACACTGGTCTAAAAAGTCTTCTAATCCTTTACTAAATTGTTTAACACACAGAAGCGTGTGAATTGGGAAAAGTGTTGTTCCTGAAATGGCTGGTCATAAGAGGTGTCCAACACTCTGCAGAGAAAGAAACATCAAATGTCACTGAACTTACACCTACTCCTGAAAACACCATCATATGTCCAATGGCAACTTCTGATTTAAAAAAAAAAAAAAAAGGTGATATTTTAATATTGCTATCTGGTCAACTAAAGCCCAAAGACACTCTGAATGACTGCGTACATTTCATGTGAGAAATGAAGGACTCTTGGAAGATATAACAGATTTCAGTGACAATTTGGCACCAAGTAGTGATTAGCAGAAGAGTAAGATATCAGAAAACCCTGACTTATACGACAGGCAGCCAGCTAGTATATACAATCATAAAGAAATGCCCATTGAAACTGCTTTTGCTTGCCAGAGGCAAGATCAGCTGTCACTAAGTGATGCCAGTAGGAGCAACTTGCAGCCCACAGACCCTTTCTATGAAGCCATGCTCAAAAGAAAGAGCTCACCACCGAATAGCTGCAGGGTTTCTGGAGCTGCACTCGTGGGGGAGGAGAAGCTCGGCTTTCCAGGGGAGCTGGAGCTGTGGGGCAGTCAGACCCTGAGCAGCTCGGCTCCTCACAGAGCTGTCAGCGCCCGGAGAGCACTGCTGCTGGACAGTTGGGATCCCAGCTCTCCCCTTGCTCTCCCTAGTCTTCTGCATGGCAGCAAGAAGCTACTAAGGGGTCTGCTCACAAGTGTCCCAATGCTGAAGCCAGGGTGAGTCTTCAGCTTTGTTTTGTGATCAGTGAGATGGCCTTCCCTGCTTTAAAAACTGTGTTTCCACTAATCAACGGTAAGAATTACGTAGGTTTCTGCCCAGTTAGCTACTGGCTTTAGATGCAGAGGACACTACTGGACCTGAAACTTAACCATATCAGCGAAAATATAGCTCAAGGTCTTTGTTTATTTTCCATAAATTGCCCTGCCTTCCTGCACTATGCACCAGGATTTACATCATGGCCTTATCTCTGGCAGACTGCTGATGCCCGAAGCTGCTGGCAGAGAGCACAGTGCCAGCAGTGAAAGCACCCAGCTCCCCCGGGGTGGCTGTGGCCAACAGACAGCATACACACGGGCAGAAGCTCCCCAACCTTGCAAAGGAGAAATGCATAATATAATGCATAAGCAATCACGGCACAGTCACACAAGAAAGAAAAGCCCCTTCGGGCTCCTCCTCTCCCTCCCCTGGCCAGCTTGCACTTGCTTGAGTGGGAAAAGGCAGAACAGAGTCGCAGTCCCCACCACTAGCACTGCCTAAGTGCAAAGCCAACTTTACCAAGGCGTGACTAAGACGAGGGATTTCAGCCCTCCTTGCACGAAGAGGTCCTGCCCGACAGGGCCCCACGTGCATTGCAGAGGCCGCAGCAGTGGGGGGCTCGGAGCAACACATGATGCTGGGGTAAGACAGGCAACACGGACTTTGTAAGGAACTGTAATCAAGCAGCTATTGTAAGTATTTGAGTTTAGACACACATGTTGTTTGGGCTAGTGCAAGAGGGCTTTAAATACCTACATTTCCTTGTCTTTGCATAAGCATTACCACAGTCACAGTTTCCTTCTATGCTTTTACTGCTAAGCTATGTGTTCATTGTTCAGTATACAACGCTTACCCATCTGCACTTTCCCCCCGTGCACACATAATCACCTGTCTCGCTACATCATTCCCAGTGAGGCCTTATCTAGCATTTATAAGCATCACTAAGAACAGAGTACAATACATTTCCTTGAGTGCATGTGTGTGCTGGTTTTCTATCATCTGTTTGTCTGCCCTAAGGCTTCTGAGATAGCCTCCCTTTGATCCTGAAAAGTTTTCATTTAGCATTAACAGTGATACACTTATCTTGGATGTGAAAAGGGAAACTTCAAATAACTTGTTGGCTAAAACTTGTCTACCAGCTGTTTTTTTATCA